TGGAAATACCTCGAGAGTCAAACAAGGGCGAGAGAGAGCGAATCCAAAAGCTACGACAAGGGTAATTGCTGAAACAGCAGCTCCAGCGGAAGGGGGATAGATTTTCAAACTTGCAACTACACCCCATCCTTCAATAGCTAATGCAACGCCATAAAGCAAAAGAAATGCACCACTGAGGATAGAAAGTAGAACAATTTGTCAAGTACTTAAATATTCCAAGGAAAAATGATGATAAGAACATGAATTTTTTGGATAACATGATAAAAATTCATTAAAAAATGAGAGAACTCCAACACTTCAGCATACAGAGAAGAGTTCAACAAAACCTAACGTTTTTCCCACAATCTGCATGTGCATCGTACACATACACAGGTAACACCCTTGGGGAATAGACTACTATCGAAGGTGAAAGGGGGCACCTAGAGAAGACAATAATTACTGAGTTATTAAAGCAAGAAAATATGTCAAGAAGAAATAGGAAGAACATCTCACTGTGGGAGAGGGCCAACATAACAAGCCATTCTCAGCCCTAAATTATTATTTCAAGAATGATCAACTCACAAACAATGCCCTTCCAGCTAGTAGGAAAAGAAATGAGAAGTAACCAACGGATGCACCAACAAAAGCCTTGTCTGGCACAAACCAAAAATCCAATCAAGCATTACGAAGCATGCAAATTGATATTGGTCATTATCCGAGGAGTCATATGGTGATCTGTGAATCATATCATCACGAGTGATATATAAGAAAGTGATCTGACCTTGAAACCATCCAACAAGAAAGGCCGCCAAAGCCACAAGAAACGCTAGAAAACAAACAACTAGCATCTGAACCCTTTTCAGATAGAAATTATTTGAGGCCCAATAATGAATTGCATTGATAGCTAGAACTAGAAGGAGGAGAACTAAGAGAAATGTTGCTCCTATCTGTCATAATATGAAGTGAAACTCCTTAGAGATAAACAATAATAAGAGATAAATTGACCAATAGTATTGACTTACCCTCCAAGGATGCACTGTAACTATGATGGCCGAAATGGCACCAAGCTGAAGAAGAAGAAGACCAATAATAACGAATATATAGGCACCTCGATAAAGCTTCCAGTTATCATCTTTCCTGATAATATTTACAATAGAGTTACTCTAAATGAGGAGCAGCTCACATCTTACAATTCAAGTGCAATGGTTTAGAGGTGTGAAATGAATCCGAATAAGCTTGTTAAAGATCAGTTGATTCTGGCAAACAACATTACCATTTAAATAAACCAGAAGAAAGTGAAAGGACTGCAAAAATGCATAACAGTGGAAGCAATGCAGCCAAGAAGTCTTCCTTCATCAGGACTTGATCAACCCTCAAACTCACAACTTTCAAATACGAGACACTACAAAATTCCACAAGAACAGCTACAAACAGATAGAGTAGAAAGAGTGTCAATCGGCATTAGTGCTGCAGGTGAACAAATGTCAAAGAAAATAACCTGAACACTTCTTTAAAGTGAGAAGGAATCAATTACCTGCAAATATACCAATAGAAATAGCAGATGAGAGGGGAAACCGATATGTTACAAACCATGATATGATGGGCAGCAAGCCACTAGCTAATAAAGCAATTGCAGATGCCACTGCCCAACCAAGGTAAACAGATGATGCATAAGGAGAGGTAACAACATTCTGATCAACAGTCAACCCCTTGTACCCTAAACCATCTAATGGTTTTGCGGACACTATCACTCCAAGAGCTACAACAGATCCAGCATATAAAGACATGTAGGCGAATAGAACACCCTGCAAAATAAATTCATTCAATTTTCAAGCATGGTGTTAGTGAAACCCGTGGGAAATATTGCATATTTGCATGTCTGAATGAACTCTAACAATGGGAGAAGATTCTACAGGAAATCAGAGAAGCCCACAGACATATTCTAGAAGAGCCTGCTCACATCAAACGCCAATACAGCTATAGAAGATGGTAACCATTTCCAATCCATCAACAAAGCAACTATACATTATACAGTATAAATTAAAGCACCACTACATAATTGATAATACAAAAGTTTTACCCGTTTCATTCCCAAAGTTTGATAATTTCCTGCTCCACCTCCATTCTCAATTCTTGACACACAAAACTGATAGCCATTATGAACCCATATTGGAATTGCAAAAGAGAGGCATGCTAGATGAAATACATGTTACAATTCACTCAAAAAAGAATTAATAGTAATATTTGAGGAAACAAGACGTCACAAGGCATAAAACAATGGTATC